CTCTTGCTCTGCACTTGCAAGACCCCTGGCTGCTGCTGATTTTATACCCAAATAAGTGTGTATAATTGCATTAAAAATATATATATATATATATAACAAAAAGAACAAGACCGCAGAGTTTCTTGCCGGTTCTTCTCTGTGCAGGTCTAGTTTAGTGAACCGGTAGATTTTTGTTGAAGTTCAATAAGAGCTTAAGTTAGGCCTATATTGAATAAATATACTTTGACTTTGACTTGACTTTGAATTGGATCTTGCACTCCGGACAAGTATTAATATCAACTAATCAAAATTAAACAGGAAATATGTACTAAGTAATATTACTATATAAATATTACTATATAAATATATCTATTAGTATTTAAAGTCACTTTTGTTTTTTATTGATAAAAATGTTATTATGTATTTTCAAAACAACCTTCGTATGCATAGGGAGGCAAACGATCTAGCGGCTCGCCTGAAGGTGGTAGGTGGCACCGTCGGTCTCGATGGTGGGTTTGACACCAGTATTGTGTTATAATTATGGCACATATTTAATCTAATTAATAACTTATCAATAATTTGTTAGTACAGTTTGTTGCGACTTATTTTTTTTTTTTAATTCAAAAACTGGCTAGGACTTGACTGCCATCCCACCTGGTGGTAAGTGGCGATGCAGCCGTTGATGGTAAGCGCGCTAGCTCAGTAGAGACCTATTCACTCTTGCCTTGAAGACCTTAAAAGTTGTTGGTTTGATACCTATTGCGTCGTGATATTTCCTACACCTTAGAATGGGGGGGTAGTTGGTATTGGTTTTTGAGGGGGATAAATACAACTCTCACAACGTACGCGGGTTAGTTTTTTGTTATCGGTAGTTAAGGGCTGTTGCTGTGTCGGAAAAACTAAGTGCTATTGTTATCCAATTATTGAGTCATCGTTGAGTCATAGTTATCCGTTAGTCATAGAGCATAAGTCGGTAAAAGCTGTATTTTATAACTTGTCTCCAATAAACTCTGTTGGTAAAGCTAAGTATTTTTGTTACCCAATTATTTGGTCATTGAGTTTTAGTTATACAAATCGGTAAAGGCTATGTTTTATATCATGTCTCTAATAATTGTTTACGTTCGAATCGGCAATTTATAGAAGTGCAGGCGATGAAACGGCACGAAATACTTTCGCTGTACTGAAGACCGATGGTAACGTGGCTAGCCCCTCCAGGTGACCACGAAATTGAAAGCGAAAAGTAGTAAAAGAAAAATAAAATAATAATAGTTTAAAAAAGACGAGCTAATGGTAAAAAATGTGTGTGTGCTTACGTCTGCATTTAAGAAGTTAAACTTCTTTAGCATAACTAAAAACGTTATCCCCTTGTGCCAGTACTCTTTTTGTGCAAAAGGCAAATGCAATTGATAACGGTTTTCTTGAAATTATATGCAAATGTCAAAAAGTTGTCATTGGTTGCCATGGTAATACCGACATGATGAACAAGTTATTATTGGTTGCCAATGACAAAGCTACCAACAACTATGTAAGCAACTTCATCATGTTGCTTGTTGGGAGACGCTGTACGCGCGCATAGTAAAAATTTTACTCTCATTTTTTTTTTCAAAACGCGCCAAAAGAACTATAAATTATGAAAAATATTTTTTTTGTTAGACTAACGCAGAATAATATCATTGTTTTATTGTCGCCTTCCTTGGATGTGGTTGCGGTATCTCAGGCTTCATCTCCGGAAGGAAATCATTGTTAATGATCCTACTATAATGGGACAAACTTATTGAACTAATGTATTGTCATCGGTCCTTAAATAATTGTGCAAAAATTCAAGTAAGCGTAACGTTTTGAAATATGTGAAAGTAGCGTTCAATGATTCCGTTAAAAAAATACATAAAATAATAAAAGCGTGTTAAAAATAGGTTTTCCGACGACTTGTCTCCCTTTTACGGTAAACGCGCAAACCCGAGTCTCCTTAGGTATGAACTGGACTAAATATAGTCGACCCCAATCGGAGATTTTGCCGAACGGCTGTCTTGGAACACTAATTTATTCCGGCACTCGTCGACGTGTTCTTATAAGATATATTTGCGGCGTTATAAAACGCATAGTCCGTACATTTATATATTTAAAACTATTTTATATTTAAATTATTTTCTTAAACGATTCTATGAGTATGTGTAATAAAATATATATATGAGATTACTTTTAAGGGTTCCGTTCCGGGTCCCAAAGGGTAAAACGGGACGCTATTACTAAGACTCCGCTGTCTCTGTCTGTCCGTCAGACTGTATCTCATGAACCGTGATAGTTAGATAGTTGAAATTGAGTTGATGTATTTTTGTTGCCGCTATAACAACAAATACTAAAAAAAAGGATAAAAAATATATAAATGGGGGGTCCCATACAACAGACATGATTATTATAGATAATGCAACGGAACCCTTCGTGCGCGACTCCGACTCGCACTTGGCCGGTTTTTAAATAGTATTACATCGTAAAGTAAAAGCAACATAAAAGCAGCAAAGTGCTGAGCAAGTCATACATCTCTCCACTGAACCAGATTGATTTGAATCACGCAACGGCTTCGGTTGCTGCACGAATTGGCAGACTCGTTCATGTAAGTACCATGACAACACAGAAGACCGACGTGAAGTGGTTACTTATAATTTTTACTTTCGTTTCGGTGTGTAAGGTAAGTAAGGTAACCGTGGACCACTAATAGTTGGCACAATCCGTCAGGTGTTGTAGAATCCATGGGCGGCGGAAATTTGAACGTCAGGTTAACGGTCTGCCAACTTTTTACATAAAAAAATATGTGTTTGTAGATTATGTGCGTGTAAGTAACATTTAGTTTAGTTTATATTTTAGTTTAATTAGTAATCAAAGTGCACGTGGTATTCGGTTTTTATCGTTGCGCATTGACGTTTCCAGTTTTTTTTGTTAACACTAGACTTTTTAAGACGAAAAAAAACTGAATTTTTTGCCCTAATCGGATAAGACACATTTCATTATATTTCCATAATATAAAATAAAACATCACTCAACAGTAGAAACAGCCACTCTTACTCTTGCATGAAATTTTTTTAACGCTAAGTATGCAAGATCAAATTGTCACTTTAAAGAATTGGAGATGGAGCAGACAGAGGAAGCGGCGCGTAAAAAGGATGCTGTAATTTGAAATCACCGACTTCCTTAGTAAGCACAGACACTAAAAATTGCCGTCGAGTCGACCTAAACTTATTACTTTTATCTGTCTCGCAATACGCTTCACATTAAAACTGAATTACGTAAAGTAACAGCCACTACGAGTCCCACTGCTGGCCCATTGCCTCCTCTGTACAGTGCCTCCGGTATTAGTGCATAGTCCACAGCGTCTTGGCGAACTTCAAGTGTCTTTAAAAAAATAAAAAATACATGTTTCCTCGCGACGTTTTCCCTCGCCGCTGAGCACGTAATAAGTCGGCACTTAAAATTAAAAATTTCATTGGTGCCGGCACCGAGGATTGTTTAAAAGCGAATGCTCGAACACTGAGCTATCACAGCTCCCTGATAATTAAGTTTATGCCCTAATTAAAAGACACCGCTTATTGCGATGATACTAGGGTTAAAAGAAACGGACGATGGGGGGAGGTGGCGGGAAAATTGCAGGATGCTATTGAATTAACTCTCCGCCGTTCCACGTTTGAATGACGGCGGGATAATCTATTTATGTCAAACGCGTTTTATTTTATTTTTTAAAAGGGTGCCAGCACCGGTCGCGATTAAATCGAGAACATTCTTCTAAGATTGCAAATAAACACATTTGAAATCAAACGAACGTGCAGTTAGACTATATCAGGTCTAACAATCAGGACTACATAGACAATAACTGGGCCAATTGTTTACGAAAATTTATGTTGTAAGAATTTTTGAGTAACTGCAGTAATTTAATGTTAGTAGATAAACGTTAATTGGTGTCTCTTCGTGCTATTTTTCCGTTAGCTAGGTACTAATTACCGCGATTTCATGCCCCAAGATTTAGTATTTAGTAGAATTATAGTTTATCTTATATATCTTGTAAATTATAAATAATGGTATCTTTTAAGCTCCGGATATTTAAATGAAAATAAAAGCTCATGTTTCAAATTATAATGATTAAAAACGTTGGGTATATTTACAGTAATCGAATAAAACAATACTGAAATAATAAATTATTTCTTACTGTCGATCGATACTCTAATTTTCATTGTGTATGTAAATGTAAAACACTGAAAAGGAAAAGTATTGATCGTCTAACAGTGTTAGTAGGTTGTATTTATTTGACTTGTCCTATAAGACGTAGCAAGGAGGGCGTATATCCCGAAGCAAGAGCGCTTAAGTTATTGCATGGCGATTGCGCAATTACTTCTCAAAATTTAAAATAAATAATTTTAAATTTAAAATAATTAAAAAAATTAAATATAAGGAAAGCTTTTATCGAATTTCATTTATAAATAATCTGTGCTAGCCCGCGAGGTGGCGCCATCAACTTAGTTTTGCAACGCGGACCTTTGACATTTAAAGGTTGGACATTTTCAATTTGTTTTGTAAACGAAAACATCCAGCGTGGATCTTGAAAGGTGTGAAAACCAAAGTTTCATCGATTACTCTCGTACGTAGACCGTGTGTGACATACCTATCGATCGATTATCAACTTGCATCGATGATACAATTTAAACCTGTCCAGTTTGCCATTTACAAAAAACTTAGAAAGAGCGCATAAAAGGTTTTTTGCGCTTTTTCTAAGTTTTATGTATTAAGCCCGATTTATTAGCAAACGTCATTACTTTTTGTATTAAAATACGTATATATTAAAATATGTTAATTAAATTAATTAAAACACATTAATTAAATTATTTAACTGGACGCCATAAAGAGTGGGTCGCGCATGAGATAGCGTCATCGAACGGAATCGTCTACCAAAGCCTTTTTACGGGCTTTATACACGGATATTAATGGTCTTTGTCAATGAAAGCGAAAACATCGTTCGGCAAAAGTCATTAGATTACCCGCAACGTTGCCGTCTGCGTCGGCGCCCGGCCCGGAGAACTTGAGGCCCCTGGTGCTCTCGTTCATCCGCACCACGTCCGCCGCGGTGGCCACGCTGAAACCGAGCCCGTGGCTGGACACCGTGGCGTTCCACTGCCACGTGCACATGTCCACGCGCGACTCGTTGTAGCCCTCGAAGTTGCAGAACACGCCTTTCACCTGCGGCACGTACTTCTCCTTGTTCACCGCCTCGTAAGTGGGCCCCTCCACTCGCAGTTCCTTCATCTTCTCCGTTAGGGAGTTGGTGTCGTTCTCGGCGGTGCGCGGGTTGATCGCGATCGCGCCCTCGTTGTCGTTCATCATGTCGTCCGGACGCGCCTTCTGCTTGCGGTTCATTTGCAGCAGCTTGTTCAGGTTGCCGTCGCCGCGGCGCCTGCTGTCGCGGCGGGCCTCTGTGCGGTTCATGAGGCTCGAGAGCCGCTGGAAGGAGCCGCGCTCCCGCCCCGCTGAGGCGGAGCGCGAGCGCTCCTTCTCGGAGGGCCTCCGCTCGCGGCCCCCCTCATGCTGGTACTCGCAGCCGGCCAGCGTGATCCACAGCGCGGCGACGATTAACCACCAGCGCGCCATCGGTTCACTGTGCCGCGGACAATCGGTCGATGCCTCGGCTGCCGTTCGATCGGAGCACGCGTTCGATGGCGCGCGATTGACTCATGACACAGCCCGCTGGTCGTGTTGATATCGCCCGCCCTATTGTGCCGCGACACGGGTGTGCCCCGACCGCGCGCGAAGCGATACCATGCCTCTTTGGGCGACCGCCAGTCCCGGAGATACGTCGCCGCTCGATACACCTCGCATACGGCGTAGCACGATCATTTTAACACGCACACTTTGTGTACAAACGTTATCTCCACATAATTGCGTCTCGGCGTACACTATTCAAACATACAGTTATATATCTACAGGTCGAACCGCGTACAGGAGCTACATCGCCGAGTATTACGATCGGTAATGGACGATTGACGTAGCAGTTTCGTTTGTGGAACGACACCGCCGCTAAACGCGACCGTTCCTACAATCGGACGCCACCGATGAACAATCCACAGTTCAATAGGGACACTTGTAAAAACACACCCCGTAATTTTTCAATTTCCAACACTAAAATTACGTTTTAACTAGCCTCCATATCGAGGTACATACATCAACGTCCCACTCCCGTGCACTGTGCAGCGCCGCGACGGGAATATGCGGAACTACGCGTCTGTGGACAGAAATAATCATTACTTTTCGCGAGATGTGATCTTGGATCGGCGTCCAAGGGGATGCTGCGCAGGTGTAAGCCCGCCTTTAGCTCATTCCCGGGCTTTTCGCGCAGGATGTAGTTGCGTCAAACACCGGATACCGCATTGGTCCAATTAGGATCATTTTCACGTCATACGTATACGATTGGTGCGTTTTGCCATCTCAATTTTGACATTGGTTTAAAAGTGTGTCGGTGTGAAAGCGGGCCAATCGTAAGTCACACCGGATATTACATCGAGGAAATTTCCTCAGAAATTTGTTTACGCGAACGTTGGGTGGTCGCGATTTTTCGCAGACGATCTCTGCGGAAATTAGATTGCGGATTGATCTGATCAGTTTATATTCTATTGCACAGTGGACCGGTGGAATATTTGTGAAATATTTCGAGATTTAACATGGAAGGTACAATGTTTAAAAAAAAATGGTTAACGATCGATTTTGCTGTTGCTACCGAAATTAATGAAACATTGTGTTTATAACCATGGATCATATTAATTTTCATGGTGTAAACGAATATTTATCGTTAAGATAGAGCTGAGCACGCATAAACTTTACTGTGACAGATTTTCAGAGAATTTTCAACAGATTACATTTGAATAGAAAGATGGTCTTCTAATAAACAGTGGAGGAATATTTTTTAATTAAATTAAAATACGACTGATTATTTCTCTTATAACACTACTAATTTTTATTGAAAAAGTAATGTCTCTTGATTACGATGTATATATAAAAAAATCTATTTTTCTTTTTGACAGCTCACGGCGTTCATATCCTGCTGTTTCGGAACGCACGATACCACTCCTCGCATATATTTTGGTCACAATAATATCAATTCATTCAATTCTAGTTTTACTAAAATTGTTTCCCATGTCGTGGTTCTGTGAATGGTGACTCGTAATTATGTGTCATTCGTGTATAAGACAAACAGTAGTGAAGTGTGTTTTCATGAATATTTCTAATAAGGTAAGCATTACTTTTAACCATTGAGTAGAAATTAACGTAAACAATTGAACTTATTAATAATAATTAATTGCTAATTTACTTTATAATTTTTACGAATCAATTATTATGATAATTCAGGTAATTAAAAAGCATAATGAAATAACTCGTTATTTTTTTAAGCTTTCGAAAGCTGTATACCCAGTTCTTTAATAAAACCTTTGAAACATGGTTCGCAAACCCGTTTGAATTTGTTTTTTTTTAAATAAGTCTTTTTTTATTAATCGATATAAAACTTAAACGTTAAAATAATGACTCCCCATTTTTCGTCTTATTAAGTCTAACATGAGATATCAGACTTAATAAGACAAAAAATTATATATATAGAAAATAATAATTTTTTATCTTGTGCAGTCAGATCAAGATGAAAATAAGCTTAATCTATTAATTAGAATAAAAATTAGTATTATATACATATATTTAAATATTGGGAACTTGTTAGCTGGTTCAGGATATTGTAATATTTACATTAGGGGTCCATTTTTCACTTAGAATTTTTTTAATTGGTAGACAAACAATTGAAATAATAATAATGAAGTCCCAAACCCGTGGGTTCTGGCTAGCCCACCGGTTCTGCGACAGATGAAGCTTTAATAGTCTCGGGACTGAAAGCAAAAACATCAGTTAATATAAGAAGTAATGAAGTGATAATTATCAAGAACATTTATATTTAGTGATAAAAGGGCAAGGCCCCAAAGGCCTTCGAGGTTAACCTTCAAGGTTTTATAGGTTATTTTTTTCATGACCACCAAGAAATACGACCAGAATTGACATATTGACAAAAAAAAATGGCGGATTTCTATAGTAAAAATCATCTCACACTATTTCATTATTTATTTTTTTCGAAAACTATAAGCGACCGCCGAATTCTGCTTGTTGATTAATTCATTAGAGATTTTTCTCTATCATTTACAATTTATTTTAATTGAATTACGCCAGACTTAAAGTTATTTACATTTACCGATGAAAGAAACAAAACGTTTCCAGAAATCTGGCATTACTTTGTGTACAAATATAATTTTTCTCAATAATTTTGAGAGGGATCTAAAATTTTTTATTTGTTTTGAAAATACAGTGATACTACGATTTAAAAAAAAGTGGCATTGACTTATGTAGTATTTTAAATTGTTTCGCCACAAAATTTAATTGTGATTATACATCTACTCATAATATATTAAATAAATTTGATAAGTAATAAAAATTCCAAAGGGTGAGAAATTTGCCGTTAGATATGTTCAAAAATATGCAGCTAATTGGGAAAAAGATAATGAATTTAAAGGCATGTTTAATACAGATCTTTTATAATTCAATGATATGTATTCCCATTGTTTATTGTCTGATTCTAAAAATAATGAAAATGATTATAATGTCACAATAAAATGTATTTAATTTGTATAAATATTTTTCAAGTCAATAAACAATTATCTGCGAAACAACTATCTGTGGGCAACACAAATAGTTGTCCCCTGTGGGAATCGAACCCACGACCCCGACGCCGAAGCCAATACCTTGGCAACAACGCCATGGAGTCATCAAATTTTAAAAGTATATGCAGTAAGTATGAGAATAGATTTATAACAATTTTTTTATTTTTTTTCTATCCTACAAATAATTTATATGAAAAAACATTTTGTTTGCCGGATCAGCTAGTACTGATGTATAATTGTTTCTGAATTCTAAGGGTTGAGGAGAGAGTCATAATTCTTGAATATTTATAATTTTGTTAGGTCTTAATTTTTGTTTAATTTTTAGGTTTAAACATTTTGTTTAATTTTTGAATCAAGCTTATCGTTGTTATGTCAGGTTAATTTAATAATATAAAAATATAAAATAAGTATTAAGAAATCCTGATATCTATCACAAGGTATGTTGTTAGGAAATGTTCTTAATTTTTATTTTGTTTACACTTTATAATTCTTATTAATTGATCAGATTCAATTTTGCACCATTAAAGTAACAAAAACAACATACCAGCTGCTGAAAATTTTAAGGTTGGATATTGGAACTCCATCAAAGTAGATGTAAATATTCAATAACAATAACTTTGTATATGTGAGATGCAAATTTATTGAATGTTTGTGAACATGAAGACTCTTGTCTGTCACAATTGCATAATTTCATTTATTACGCTACAATCTTATCTGTTAAAAATAAGTTTGTTTATGCCAATTAGCTTATTACAACTAAAGTTTTATTATACCTAGTTTATTGTTATTGTTTTATTTTTTTTTTTTTTTATTGTTGATTTAATTTGAGATAATTAAATTAATGATTGTGCAAATTTACTACAAAGTATCAAAAATCTTTTACATGCGATTTGTGTCCCTTTTTCTTGCTTTTTGCATAATTTTAATGTCTTATGCTACAAAGTGAACTGTTGCAAAGTTTTAATATGAGCCAAATATTGCAAAGAATAGCTTGTATCATTATTAAATTGGACTTCCTTCTCGCTTAACCGCATCGCCGTTGTCCGTGTCGAAATTATTCATAAAACCAGCCATTCAACTTCTCATAAGAAGAACCCCATTGAAGCCTATCCAAAAAAACAGGAATCTGCCTGGCACATAACACTATGGGTGTTTTCCATTGATTAGTACAAAATCTGATTTGTTTATACTGGGATAAATTCCAAGGATTGTGGCTCGATAGTGGCAGCTTGATTTTGATCTTTTTTTTTATTTTACAAAAAAAAACACCAATTTTTTTGAATTACAAATCTAATGTATTTCTAATCAAAATGTTTGTAGCATGCCTTTTTGAGCATACCTCAGCTTGCTTTGCTATCAGGGCTCTGTATTGACTCGGAATGAATTTAAACTGTGAACGAAGTTAAAAGTTAAAAACTCTGGGGGTAGACTGCTGAGTCAGCACTGTGTATTACCTCTCGTGGCCGTCTCATCAGACTTAGGCCACTGAACTGTACCGTAATTGGCCCAATTAAAAGCGTAACGTGTTGGTTAACTGTGAAATTAAGTGGTAAATGGTGCACCGTAAAAATTGCTGGGACAAACTTTAACGCATTTTTACCTGATCGCGTACAGAACAAGTTTTTTTCTTTTTCAAAGAACGATATGTAAATAACCCCTCGGGTTGGAGTTGCGAAAATGCGGAATAACTTTGGGAACTGAACCGTGATTCGGAGGGCAAATCAAATCGTTAGTCGTAATACCTGCAAGTAGACTATCAACGCTCTGCAATCAACTTCCGCGTATAATTTCCTTACCCTGATTCCACTGTAGGTATACGCTTTCATACACGCGTCAATGATGGTCGAACAATATATCTACCAACAGTCTAAACTATAACAGAACGCGTGTTTTCACTAATAA